TACAATGAACCAACAATCTATTTAACTACAACATACAAAGAAAAGATTTAAACATGCCAAATACACAGACATTGGTATCTAACAGACATACAGTTAAGTGGGGAAAGAGTACATGTATAGTTACCCATTAATCGTCACATGAGGGCCTCATCCTGGTGAAAGAGAGCTAGCTCCTTCCTTCAATCATTAACCCTTTCGCTGCCAAGGACGTATGGCATACAGACCTACAAAAGTGCTTCCAGCTGGCCAGGTCAGTATGCCATACGGACCTGGCATTTACAGTTCTACTATAAGCTGATGGTCGCTTTAGCAGATAGTATAACTGTTCAGCAGACTGTCCCCTTTAAATTGCCGGCCGCCGGCATCTGGAGTCTCTCATCCCTCCCTGGAGCCATCCCAGGGAGGGATGAGGGACTCCATGGATCCCCACTGCTTGTAGGGTCTGTGGCAGCGTGGATCCGTACAAAAATCACCGTCGGGGGGGTCCCGGGAACGAGCGGCGGCTGGCCGCAATTCAGGATGGCCGAGCGGTGTTCCGATTTTGCGCAATTATCGCAGGGCCTACAAATTTAGTATCACCATCTTTTTATTCTACCGGGCCTGCGCTTTCAGAAAATATATGGTTTGGGGGGTCTTTTACAAACGCTAGCAACGCAGCAGTTGAAAATCAAATCAATAGGAAAAAATTGCAGAAAATTCAAAAATGGCTTGGCCAGCTGATTTGAAAAATGTTCCGGAGGGCTTGGCAGCGAAAGGGTTAATATACCCCTGCTGTCAATAGGGATGCATGGCAAGTCTCCCATTGGTTGCCTCCCAAGGCCTAATGGAGATTGGAGGGTTTCCAAGACCCTCTTTATAACTCCCCACCCCTCTCTACGATTGGCCAGTCTACATATTATTAGATCAAAGGGTCTTGGCTCAGGAAAAACCTGCTATGCACTTATCCGGACATGCCTGGGCTGGACAATAACCCTATTTGCAATTCATTGGGCCTGCCACTCCCCTCCACAGTAATAAGCACAACAAATACTTTATTTACCTCCTAGCTACCCCCACCTCAGGTGAAATATTTAGAACAAGAAATAAAACTATATACATATGTCTTATGAAGATTTGACATAAACTCATAAGGTAACAACTCTGGTAGTGAAGTCTTCTGCTCCCTCCCTTAAGAAAAAGTTCCTTTCATCCTTCTCTTGCCTTTTGGTTTCAAGCCAAAACAGCAAGCGTAGTTCTGCTGCAAGGCCTGGCAAGGTGAGAAGTAAACACTCTTAACAGAGAAGGGGCGTCTTTCAGGCTTCTCGGTACTCTGGGTTTGGGACATTTCCAATGCCTGGGTCCAGAGCATCAATATTAAAGGCTACAAACTGGAGTTTTGATCCCTGTCTCTGCCCTGTTTCCGATTTTCAAAGCTACCCAAATCCCCTCTAAGGCAACCAAATTTCTTAAAGGAGAACTATGGGGTTAAGGCTTTTCTCCACAGTTCTCCTTAGGGTAACGGGAGGACACAAACTAGCATCCCCCGTCACCCTAGGCTCAGTATACCGTGAGCTGTAGCTCGCAGTATACCGTGAGCTGCTGCTCGCGTTATACTGAGACGCTGAAGCGGATCCCGACAATTATGCCGGGATCCGCCCAGCTCCGTGACTGACAGCTGGCTCTGCCTATTAAGGGTGGCCATAAACTAGTAGATTTTCGGTCAAACATTTTGTTTCTGCCAAGAACCCTTGTTCAATTATAGCTCGAATACCCCATTAAACATAGTCCAATGTCGATTTAGAAAATGATTTGTTAGCCATACTAACCAACTAATTTTTGACGACCAACAACGGTTTCCTTTTGCGCATATGCTGTGTTCTTGCTACGATTTTTCGCTCGAGTGGTTCGTCTGATCTTAGACCTAAGATCCTCAGTCTGTTCCTATCAGTCCAAAGTTCCAGATGGAATCCTGTAGATTGCCTCACTACACCTGGGGGGATTCTTGGCCTCAGTGGACATGTATATTTACATATACCCATAATCACTACTGGCATTTTGCTTTGAGTACCCAGCATTTTCAGTTTGTTGCTCTTCTCTGCTCTGTCCTGGTGCTGGCCCCTATCTTGGCCATTCTGTGCTCCAAGGGGATGCCCAGAGTGGGGTACTTGAGTTACTTGCTCCTCAGGGAGCAGTCAGCACTGGTCATGTATTCCAAAGTTCAGCTGACAATGCAGACCCTACAGAGCATCAGATAGATCCTGAAATAGCAGAAAGCGGTTCTGTTACCTTATCCTTGATTGGAATACCTACACCTGGACAAAACCCTAAAAAACAAAAGGGAACAGAGCGCCACCTCCGTGTGTAAAATCACTTATTAAAATAAATAAAACAAGGGATATATTGGTTTTTTTTTATGTTCGTGGTGGAAGCCCCAGAGCCTTGGATGAGCAGCCCCTCAAGTCTGTGTGAAAAACTGTTTTGATAATGCAACAGCAAGTGGATTGTTCAGCTGGCAGCCAATAGCTCCAAGAGTTAAAGAAAACTGAATTGGACAAAACCCTGTTTAGGTTCTCCTGTCACAGTTGCTGTTTTTCTGCTCTCAGGTTTGTTTACTATGACACAGGAAGCTTCTGATCATTTGCTTCTAGGCCCGATGGTAGCCTTCTTTGAAGCAGTAAAAAGTGAAGAAATCACCAGCACTCCAGAGTTCCAAGAATGTCAGACCTTGTTTATTGTCATCCAATCAATAAACAAGTTCTGAGATTCTTGGAACTCTGGAGTGCTGGTAATTCATTTATTACTGATCTGCCAGCGGTGCCATCCACAGGCACTGCAGCTCCCATCATCCATCCCATGGATCCTTTCCGGTTAGAAATGCGATGTTTTATGAATTCAACCTTCTTTGAAAGCAGTCTCTTTTGCTCAGTTCCATTCCAAGCCATTGCAGCTAAATATCCTAGCTGCGTGGGACTAACAGGTTTGATCCTTAGATCCCTCTCTCCGCTTGTCCAGCAACACAAAACTTGTCCTGGGTGGGTGTATATCCAGTCTGGCGCTGCAGTCCTTCCTTCCAATTTGCTGAAAGGTGCTCACAACAAATGCCAGTCTGTTGGGCTTGTGCTCAGTCCAGGAGACCTGGTTGTTGGAAGAATCGCAACTCGGTCAGACAATGCCATGGCTGTGGCCTACATCAACCAAGTAGGCACCAGAAGTCACATGGCCCTAAGAGAAGCAAACTTGATAATTGCTTGGGTGGAACTTGCTGCATTCTGGCCTTGTCTGCTGTACGCATTTCATTCCTGAAAAAAATGGCAGGTGAACTACCCCAGTCATCAGTGTCTGGATCCCGGAAAGGGAGCCCTACATCTGGAGTTGTTTTGAGCCCTTTGTCACAGGTGAGGGACAACAGATGTAGCCAAGCTGGATATGTTTGTTTGCCAAGACCAGGGATGCTCTAGCCTTTGGGGCTAATGCCTTGGTGAGTCCACGCCGATACCAGTGCTTTAAACTAGGGATGCACAGATACCGGTATTTCGGTACAGAGTACCAATATTATTTTTCGGTATTTGCCGATAACCCACTGGCATTTGATATGCCAGTGGGCGGAGCTTGATGGAAATGCAGAGGGACTTGTTCACCATCAGATTTGTTCTGCTAATGGCAGCAGGCATTTGGCAGACAGCATAGCGAATAATCTGCCCAGCTGTCAATCAGTAGCAGAGTAGATCTGATGTGGATAAGGCTCCACCTACCCACAGTATAAATCCTCGACCGCTGCGCCTGCCTTTGTGGCAGTCCATAATAGAAGTCACCAGCACTCGAAGATATGTGCAAGAAGTAAAGCACTTTATATTAAATCGTCACATGCATCAAACAGCCAACGTTTCGGGGCCACGCAGGGTCCCTTATTCTGGGCGACAGTGACCTATGTCACTGTCACTATGTCGCCCAGAAGAAGGAACCCTGCGTCATGCAGGCTGTGCTCTGAAAAAGGTAGGAGGAGCAGTGGGCAGGATATAATTGGAAGTGTGGGTGATGCGCCTTCAGCATATTTGGGCGCCACTGCCACCACCAAGATTTTCTACCAGCAGGAGGACCAAGGGAACTAAAGAGACAAGCCGTGCCACCAGAGGGGTGTTTGTGTGTGTGAATATTTATATATAATTAAAATGGTGTACACATGATTCACCTGGATCCACTGTGCATGCTTTCTGCCAGCAGCGCTGTACTCAGCGCGCATGTGTGGCTTTCAAACTAGGAAGCTTGAGCTCCAGTTTTGATAAATTCCCCTCAGTATTGGAGTACCCATGGGGAAAATGTATCACAATTTGAGTAGACAGAATCTGGAGCAGTTGCCCATAGTAGACCGATGGCGGGAAAAGGAGCTCTACCTTGGCTCCACTATACAGGGGACGACCACGCAGCAACTCCAGTGGGAGATATATGCAGACATGATCCTTTCTGGAAATACACAATATCCTTTGTACACATCTGAGCATTGGTAATGACCATATATCATGAGAGATGTCTGAATGGACCATGCAACCAGAGGGAGTAAATGTTAAAAGATTATTGGGTTAAGGTGAGTCACCGAAGGAATCAGCAAATACATTTATGGATATAGGATTAAATGGACATGCACAAGAAAGGTCTCCCACGGTTTTGTAAAGAAACAGTGCATGAGGATTGTGAAATGTGTAAGAAGCTCAACCTCACCTAACTTTGTAACAATATTGAGGACATTTCAAATGTGAGAACAGAATGTGATTTACAGAACAACTTCTGCATTACCATACTTGTATGCAACCTGATACAGTGCATGGACCTCTTTCCTTAGAGTTACTGGGGCAAAAAAGTCAGCCTGAAACCTAACTAGAAATATTTGAAAGCTGAAGGTTTAACTGTTGGGTGCTATACAAGTCTACGTGCGAAGATCTGATACCTTTGATGTCTAGAAACATGCTTTAGGTGCTTGCTGTGTTCTGTATCTTAAAGCTTTTTTTTCCCCCCTCGTATTGCAGAAGTTCATGCCACAGGTTTCAATTACCAGAATGAAGACGAGAAGGTGACTTTGTCTTTTCCAAGCACCCTACAAATGGGTAAGTGGAAACTGTTGACACTGAAAATAGTATACATTTTTACTGAATGCATTCCTTGGTAAGTTAATATAAAACTGTTACTTTCTCATTTTTGGCACACTTGTATGGGCCAAAAACTGTATTTTTGATTAGGGTGTTTATGATTAGGGTCAGATTTCCTGTGTGCCAATGTGTGTGGCTGTATTCATAGGTCATTGGGGTGTGTGACCTGTGTTTACCAAACTGAGTCATTGAAGGCAATGTTTTTTTTTTTTTTTTTTTACAGAATTATTTTATTATATTTTTGTAAGCAAGAACAACATATCAAACAATACAAAAAAAGAAAAACCAAAGGCATTCTACATCCAGAAGTACCTTGCACAGAGCAAAAAAAAATCTACATAGATTCATAAAGGTATAGGAACATTATAAACAAGCAGGAGGACCAGCAATATGGCAACAATAATACAATAAAATATATTGCAGAAGGTGTGAGGGAGAGAAGAAAATAAACGAGGGAGGGGGAGAGGAAGAAAAGGGGCAAGGGAAGTGGGCGGCATGGAGGGATGTGGAGGGAAAGAAAAAGGGAAAACTAAATACCGTATATACTCGAGTATAAGCCGTCCCGAATATAAGCCGAGGTACCTAATTTTACCAAAAAAAACTGGGAAAAAGTATTGACCCGAATATAAGCCGAGGGTGGGAAATGAGGCAGCTACTGGTAGATAGATACCAATAAAATTACATTAATATTTATTTAAAAGAAAAATAACCTAGCTCTGTAAGTGGAAAAGGGGGTACAGGGCTACATATCATGTACTACGGATCATTTAACCCATTCATATTAGCAGAGGATAATTGTAAATCTATTGTTCAGTGCACTCTATATGTAGTATATAGTACATATACATATAGAGTGCCTGCAACAATACAT